GGCCTCTCAGCCGCCCTTGAACCGGCCCTTGCAGCTGCCCTCTCGGCCGTGCTCTACACCGGCCCTTCAGCCGTCCACGGAGCAGCCCGTTGGGGGATCCCCTCAGCCCGCCTCAGGGCGCCTCCTCATCCCTCCTCAGACCGGTCCCGAGAGGTCCGTCAGCCGCTTCAGGTCGGCATTTCATGTTTTCAGTGTCCCTTCAGCACCCTCCGAGGTGCCCTGAGGGAATCCCTCAGCCCGGCCATGATAAGAGGTTCCTCAGAAAGCTCAGCTCGGCCCTGAGGGGATCCGCCCTCAGCCCAGCCCAGCCCGCTCATGAGGAGGTTTTCCCTCAGGTGGTCCCCTCAGGCCGGTTGTGAGGGGATTCCCCCTCAGCCCGGGGGAGGCCGGCTCTTACCTACCCACAGCATCACCGGCGCAATGGCTCATGTCATCAATTTCCTTTATCTGCCTCTACTATTCTTCAGCACTGCACAACAAGCTTCAAACACACGGGTGGGCGGAAGTGTGGAGGTAGCTGGAAAAAAACAAACAAACCCACCAAACAAAACCAATGGCTCCAGCACTACCGGCTTGTAGCCAACAATGAACTCCATGTGGGCTGTGCGGGCCCACCCTCAGATGTGTGTTTTAAGAATAAATCTGTACAAAAGTTCTCCTTGGCTATCCTGAGTGCCCAGAGCTGTCTCCCGTCACACGGGCTGGCAGGGAAGGGACAATGTGATGCAGGGCGAGGGCTCGCTGGGATGTGCCACCGATCTCACAACTTCCTGCTTGGCCCCAGATGATTTTCCTACTGCACAGAAGTAGCTGCAGGAGCAACACACATCTTCAAAGGAAGTAAAATTGCTCTGGAGTTCCCCCCACTGCAAACAGTTCTATCCCGCTCCTATAAAGTTCCACCTTTGAGCTAAGAACGGCCAAGAAACATTTAATTTCAAAAGGAAAATCTTCAAAGACATAAAAGTGTTCACAACCAGAGTGGCTCCAGCCTGTCATACCTGTCATAAAACTACAAAAGGTAACTAAAACCAGAGAAATAAAAAGACTGCTGGAGAGCCAATGCATGTCCAAGAACAGCGTGTTACAATTTTAGATTTCTCTCAGTTTGTTGATCTCACTTAAGAAAATGTGATTAAAGCCTTTGTCTCTCAGGTATTTAAACAAATCCCCACTGTGTTTCTCTGTGCTTGCAGGACAGCCCGTGTGTGTGTGCTCAGCATACCTGGCTGTGTCACACCCTGCCCACCAGTGACAGCAGATTCAGACTATGCCAGAAATCTGGTGAGATACCACCAACATAAGTCTCAGGATGCTACCAGAGAAAAGGGCACCTTTTGGTGAGTCAGCTGCAATTCAGGGCTGTTTGTGCAACACCCCTGAGGAAAGGAGCAAACACGATTTCCGGTGATACATGGCACTCCCAAATAGTGAGAGGTGACATTTTAACATTGGGAATGGGTCTGCACAGATGTTCCAGAGTTCATTTCAGTAACACAAACAACATATCTGGTTTAATGATAATGTTCAGGTTGACTTATTGAAGTCTAGGGGATAATTTTTTGCTCCATAGCAGCATCTGCAGTTCAGATGTGACTATATGGGAATAGTTATATTGGCAAAAGTGCTTATTCATGTCCCCACTATTTTCAGAATTCTAGTGGTGTACTTAATTTTGTTTAGTTACAGTGCTCACATGTTATATAGCCCAAAAGGAAACACAAAAAAACAAACCAACCAAAACCAACAGAAAATGGTGGAACTATAAAGAAGAAAAAGAAAGAAAAAAGGAAAGGAAGAAAAAGGAAAAAAGAAGTGAAATGGCTTTACAAGGGCCACTCGGCTTGCCCAGCAGTGGAGGCAAAACTCATGGGTTTTTTGACATATCAGGCACTAAACACAGCTGAACTGTGGGATCAAGATGTTCCACAGAGCGCAGCCGAAGTGTCCAGGAGCCCTCAGATACAAATGGTCTGCTCCACAATCTATTCTACTCCCTGCTGTTGGACTCTCACAGTCTGTTTTCTCATTGCTTGGTCTACCCCAGGCTCTGCACACAGAAAATAATGTTCAGAGATGTCAATGAGTTTAAAAGGTAGGCTAAAATTAGACCTTAGTCTTTTGCGTCAGATGGTTCTCCTGAAAGCAGCTAAGAAAGCACACTTTTCTTAAGGAATGGTTGTTTAATTTCATTTTTTCTTTTCATTTAACCAGTATCAAGCATACAAACACAACTAACACTGGAGCCATGGTGGCTTAATGTACATTAGAATAACTGCCTAAAAAGACTATGGAGTGACTACTCCAAATCTCCTCAATTCCAGCAAATCCCCAAGGAAAAAAAAAATCATCCCAAACACCACCTTACTATTAAAAGTCAACATATGTGTTCCAAAGTTCAGGCAGACTTCTGATGGTCATTGGACATGGAGCAATGCAGGACCAAGCTGAAGGAGCATGCAAGAGCATCCTTTTATTTCTGATGCAGAGAGAGCTGTCAGCTCAGAGACAAGCACAGATACAGCACAGAGACATTGGTTGGGCAGTGAGTTACTTGGACACACAGGGTCTTGCAGCCAACCCTAACACCTTTAACTGTACATGGAAAACTCACAGAAGATGCCAGTGCATCCATGTCACGAGATTTATGTTAAGGGAAAGCAAAGGGAACTGGAAAAAGTAAAATAGAGAGGTCTTTACTGTCAGGATGAATCATAACTGAACTGCTTTTAAGAGGAACAGCATAGATTCTAGCTCAGAGACATTGCTGTTACAGGGTGTTGAGAGGCAGGTTGATTACACTGTGCAAGTTCTAACATGGGGAGAAAAATGCCAGTTTTAAGAGCTCTAATCAAGGGGGGAAAGGCATAGCAAGAACCAGAACAATGCTTAGAGCTGGAGTTAGAAAAATTCTAATGAATCATCTGGTTCACATTTGTTACAGAATGATTATCCTCTGGAACAAAATACTAAAGAAGAAGTGTATTCTCTATCCCTTTATGTCCTCCGATCCAGGTTTGATTGCCTTTCTAGAAAGTGCATTATTGAATTCAACATGAGCTACTGCGCTCCCTGCAGAGAGAATGGGCTGTAATTTGATGATACAGGAGGTCAGGCTGGGTGGGTTAAAGTCCTAGCCCTGAAAATACCTGTTCTTACTCTGTTTACCGAGCACACATTTTCTGCACCTACCTCAGTCATTAGCTTGATCTGAGAACAGCCCCTAGGAAAGCACATGACAACAACCTGATCTTGAAATGGTGACTGCAAAACAGAGTGTCTGCATAGCCCAGGTGATAAAGATGGACAGCATCCTCTGAGGTACTGGGGATACTATGTTTTGTCTAAAAGCTAGGAATCTCCTTCATACTGGGATCACTACCAAGAGGTATGTGGATACACTGAAAAGCAAGACTGAGCTCAGCTAGCTCATCTTCCTGTTTCTTCCACATAATACATGTTATCTCTGCTCCAGAATGAGCCCTGGCCAGTTCCTGCAGAATCAAGCTAACAGGCATTAGTAGGACTGAGAGAATTAGCAGCCTTCCTGGTCTCTGAAAGCCCCTCAGCCCATACTCCATCACTGTCTGGTCCCAGTAGCCACAAACACGATGCTGAGTGAGACCAAAGCAAACCAGGCACTAGTCCTGTGCTGAGGGAGCTTGCAGGCATCTGGCTGCATATTCTGTGAGGAAAGAACAGACTCACTTGTTAGTCTGCTCTCTCCAGGGCAGTCAACAGAGTGTATCCCTTCAGGGATTATTTTCTTCCTTTCAGTATTTTGTTAGTATCCTAAAAGCTTGAAAATGTTTATTTTAGTTTATCCCAGTCTGCACTTATTGATTTTTCCTCATCTTCAGAGTTCTAGAGAGGGTCAGTATGAGCAGAAGTGCTTCTGTTTGACAACAGAACTTATCTTTGAGGAAACAAATCCACATTTGCCAGTGTGCCAATATTAACTCCAGTGACATAGTGCAGTTGCTGATCCAGGGGTGTTCCTGGCCTGCAGGAAGCTTATGACCAGACTCCCACCTTCTCTCCCAGGGGAACATGGCTGTTTGCAGAGAAGAATGGCCAGTTGGACCACCTGTGGAAGACAAAACCCAGATGTGATCTCTGTTGATAACCAGGCTGAACCTTACGTAGTTTAAGCAGTTACTACAGGCTGAGGAACTGGACCATCAAGAGAACATCACATTGCCCTTCTGGAAATAATGGAAATCAGCCTAGCTTGTTTCAAACCCAGTTTTCTTATTCAGTTAATAAAAATCTTGGGGAAAAAAGCCCCACATTTTTGTCTTCAAAAAGTCACAACAATCTCTAAACCAGAACTGTCAAAGGGCTGGAGTCTCCCTGAAGAAATGCTTTACCCAAATGGACACCAGTGTAGCCACTACCATTATCAGGAGCAGTAACTGCATATGACAGTCTAACATGTTCAACTGCAAATAATTATGACTCAGTGCTATTATTGTCCTTTTCCTGTGTTTTGCTTTATCTGATTCAAAATCAGAACTCAAACACAGACACATAGACACACAGCTTCTCACTTAAGAAAAACAGAGCTACTATAGAATAATATGATATAGAATACTATACTACAGGATCACAAACCCCAGATTTTGGGTTACCCACATACAAGCCTTAAACTGACCAAATTCCATGAAAAGTCATATCATCAGGTGGTCACACAGGACAATGACACAACTGTCTCTAGCACTGTGCATTCTTAGGCTTCAAACAGATTGCAGCTCTGCAGAACAAAAATCACAACCCTGCAATTAAACACCTACATTCCCATTATGCCCATGGTTATCTCATGGCTTCTTTTTTCTTCACAGATTTCTCAGCTGAATTAACCTGTGTTACTGACACTTGATATTACACAGTAGCATTTACAAGCTCATCCAGCTCAGAGGTTTCTTGTGAGAGATGCTGTACCAGGGAGACTTGACAAGAATCAAACAGCCCTCCCAAAGCAGTGAAGGGGGATATACATTAACACATATCTCCATGTTTTCCAGCAGTCACTCTCTCAGACAGGCTCTCTGCTCTAAACTACCTCTGGAGACCGCCCTCTGGATCTCTCTATTTCATGCATTCAGTGCTCACTGATGTGAATAACCTTCTGGTCATTTGAATCATCACATTCACACACGACACGTCTCACCGGGGAGGGCTCTGCACACTGACCATGGCACCTCCAGAACAAGTTCATTAAGCAAAGAGGATACAAACAGTGCCCCAAGATGCACAGAACTTTTAAGATCTCTCAGAAGCCAAATTAGACTTAATATTGAAAGTGCAGCAGTGTTTTAATTCCTTGAATTCAGCAGAAACATGATGGAGGCAAAGACAGTGAATCAAAAGAAAAGTCCATGAACAGAAGCTGGCATCCCCAGGCCCAGTTCTTTTCTGATCCTCACACTGTTGTGTTTAAAAAGATAAATTGGATGCAGAAGAAGCTGTTTTTCTATGAAAACATTTAGCTTTTGCAACAATACAAGCAGCTGCTCTCACTCTCCACTACAATTCTGCATAAATGCTGGAATATTTGTTTGTGAATCTTTCAGTTACAACATTTTTATAGAGTTCCAGGCTGCCTTCCATAGAATAGCTCATGCCAACCAAAACCAAATTAAAGGGGAAAAACCCCAAAAAACCTCACACCAAAATAACCCCAAGCACTCCAAACAGCTCTATTCACTCCCAGAGGTAGCTGATACAGAAAGCAAACACTGCCACTGTCCTTTGTGATTTCTTAACAAAAATGGCCTTTGATATTCAGGTTTGTTGAATGCCATGATCCATCTCTAGAAGTCCTGGCCTTCATTATACTCAGAGGAATCTTAATGCTCCAAATAAATGGAGTTTGTGGTGTCACCTCAAGTCCCAGCAGGGACTACAATTACTAGTATGCCACATTTTTGGCAAGTTTTGTTCTGTTTGAATGAAGGATGTAGACTCTGAACTTCTGCCTCCGCCCACTGGAGGAGTCAATTCTGCAGATGGTAAGATGCATCTTTGCCTTTAGTCCCACTTCTCAGAACAGCCAAATACTTGAGGTCTGATTAACTAGCATTTAAGAACCCAGTGTGGAATGGATAGCTACAGAAATAGCATTCTTGCACTACCCCAGCATTTTAGGAAGAGACTGCCAGATCCATGTGGGAGCAGAGGAATCCTAAAACAATAAGAACAGACCCAGCAGTTACCGATTCATAAACAGCTTCCTGGCATCTTACAAAAGGGCTCAAGCCATGAGAAGGCAATTCTTGCAAAAACATTAACAGAAATGGTTCCACTGCTTTTCTTTGCCTACATGAGGACAGGTAAAAGATACAGTCACGCAGAGTGGAGCAGGCTGGGACTCCAACAGCTCTATGTGGTTTGCTCAATCAAGTTGATTTATTTCAAGACCAAATTTCCTCAAGCAACTTTGAAAATTCTGGATTAGTACTAGTAGCTCTAATTAGGACTGGGCATTCAGTGCCCCAGACATTGTCATGAAAATTGCAAGTCCAGTCTCATAACATCGTTATGAGTTAGTATCGGCAGGGTGATTTGAATTTATAGGGCTCTAAGCAGACTGAAGCATTTTCAGTTAAACAAAATATATCTATAACCTCATCACCCAAAGGGTCAGTCTGAGCTTTCTGAAGAGGGGTTTATTTTATTTCATTTCACACTTAGTAATTTTCATGCCTTTTCAGCATTTACAGTGAAGCCATTTGGTTTACAATAGGATATTGGGAATGCAGCCCCCTAGACTACCAGCAAGTACATCCTAGGACTGAATGGTTGCCTACAATTCTGTGGGACAGGATTTGACAACCAGGCAGCCAGGATGGGAGGAACCAGCACCAGTTCCTAGTGGTTCAGCACTTAGTTCAACAGTTTCAAGCTCTGAAGGGCTCACTGGTGACTGATTCACTTGATCAAACAGAACAGAACACACAGAGGTTACTTCACTGGTGGGTTGCCCTGCCCAGCTTGTAAAGAGACCAAGAACACCTGTCAAAGAGCTCTTTGTGTATCACAGCAAATTCTGTACCATGAGCATTAAAATAAAAAAGAAAGAAAAAGAAAGGCAGTCCTTCTTCAAAGCCAAAGTGCTACTCCAAATTTAGAAAGCTGAGCTAGGTTTCTACCCAAGGTAGCAGTGGTTGCAGGTACAAGTGAGATGCTTTGAAGGAATCACAGTTTGAATCAGGATCAGGGAGTTTAAGAGCAATTTGAGAAAGAACATTCAAATTATTCTCAGATCATTCATGCCTTAAAAGGAAAGAGAAAGAATGAGGTTCTCAATCCACTGCCTAGGTAAGGTAGCATAGGGTAAGGGGTAGGTAAGAGGCACTTGAATTTACCTCTTATTGAATGAAGAGATAAGGGAGAGAAAAAAAAATGCATAGATACTAAGTAAAGGGATGTGTGCTGCCAATTACAAAGTTACCTGCCACTCGTTATTAGCAGTTTCTACTTCTTAGTGCAAATAATCCTGTATCTTAATAAGAAAAGCTTTAAATTAGGCTTCAATTTTGACACCAGAGGGAACTGACCACATAACTAAATGCTGGTTGTGATTTGTGTAGGTGTGCTTTTACTTGGGTCATCTTTCTTGTGTGCAAACAGAATACAGCCACTGAGTGCTTGGTGTTTCACAGGGACCCTTTCACAAAGTTGAAATAATCATGAGCCCAATTAGTCAAGGGAAGGGTTAGAGGACGGTAACACTCTAGAAAGCCACCTGCTGAGAAAGAGGCTACAATAAACATACTATTACCATAGAAAGGACAAATTTTGATAACTTGGAATATAAAAGTAAACCAAGTTGATAACAAGCAAAAGGACACAGAACATTCTGTAAGCAATATTTTTGTTTTCCAGTCTGTTTTAACTTAAGAACAGAGCTGACAACATACTGCCTCCTCATTACCTAATGGGATAGAGCTGTCAGCAGTAGACCAGGCTGAAGCTACAGGAGCCTTGACAGAACTTCACAGGTTGTGAAAACAGCTGGATGAGGGTGCTCTGATCTGCTGACATGAGACTTGCTGATACCTGTTCACAGAGAGAACTTCCAGGAGCCTGGAAAGATGCTCATGTTGTGCCAATATTTTAAACAGAACTGCTGGCCTGACAGCCAGGCATCAGTCCTGAGTAAAATAGTGTAAGGGCTAACTTGATTAATTAAAAAACAGGGGGATCATGTAATTAGTACCAACAAACAAGTGTTTATCAGAAAATAGAACTTGCCAAATGCATTTGATTTTTATTTTAAAGAGATCAAAACTCTCCTTGCCTGCTGAAAGGTGTCAGTGTCACTGGACTGGACTCATGCACACTTCACTTGGTATTATGTGACATGCTCATCAGGGAGCTATGACAGCTGAGACTTACCACGACACATTAAATGAGTTAAACCTGGCTGTACAACAAGTCACACAATACAAGAGAAGACATTTTACTAAGCATAATTCTGAAGGAGTTGCTCAGGAATTTCAGCTCTGTTTTCTTTAATGCATTGTAAGCAACAAAGGAGGACACAATCAACAACCACATCCTAATGCTAAAGCTTTTAGTAAACGAGGACAGTAGAGTTTACTGCTGGGAATGATGGGGACTGCTTGGCAAGTTGGGATGTTTTAGTGTATGAGAACACAGATCTGAGTCTTACAGGCAAAGGAAAGCAATCCCTTTGGAAAGCTGACTAGGCTGACAGCAAGAAGCTCAAACTTGAGGAGTTCCCAGCACAGAGCTGTAGGAAATGTGCTCTCAGCACTGGAACAGGCAGCGAGTGCTGTCACTGTTCAGTCGCAGTGTCACATCTACCCCAGACACAGCAAGTGCAGCTTTGTTGACTGCCACTCAGGAAGGCTGTTGATAAACAGAAGAGCACTCAGGAAACAGCTGCAAGAAAGATGAAGGGGCTGGGAATGATGTTTGATAACAACAGATTCAAGAAGCACACATGGGTTTGGGTTTCTAGGCCAACGGCTGATTTGCACAGGGTTTTGTGCATGTACAAAACTAATTTTGTACATGTAGGAAAACAAATTCAATTGTTACAGTTGTCTGTGTAAGAAAACTGTAAAAAAGCCCTGACCAGCTGGATACAAACAGCAAACAAGGCACATGTTTATTAGCAATGAGGATGATTAGCCAGAGCAATTCACCAGAAATTGTAGCAATTCTACTTTACCAAAAATTATTCAAGCCAAAATTAGATATTTTTCTGAAAACCTGTGTAGTTCAAACAGGAATAAAATTTACAGCAGTCTACAGATAAAACATAGAGGTTATCACATGAAATAGGCAGAAATGGCCTCATCTGCTCTGATAATCTGTTTTTAAATAGAGTCAAATTCAAATATATATATATATGCATATGCATATATATGTATATGTACATACACACATGTGTATATATCTATAAAATAAGAATAAATCTTAAGGCAAGTGCTTCTGTTTTTTCAAATGCTTTTTTCTTTCTGAGCAAGTGCAAAGATGGAAAAAATGGCTTTAACAGCAGTGGCAAGTGATGCTACTGAAGAGCATAAATGCCAACTCGTATCACTTGCCTATTCCTATGCTCATTGCTGCAAAGCCTAATGAACCACAATTGATATGTGGAAAGAGGGCAAGGTTTGTAAGGTTTGCTAAACTACAGAGAATTACAAAGTCAGAACAAAGCTAGAGGGCATTGCTTAAGTGTTTAACTCTCAAGAATAGAACAAACCTCTCAGGATTGCTGTTTCAAACTAGCTCTTTTTAGCAGCTAATTCTTCTAAGATATATATCAGTGTAGCTACTGCTCATTTGAGATGCTGGAGCAGCTCAAACCTCATCCAGGAATGTAACCTGCAGCAAGACCAGTCACAGAACCATGCAAGCCAGGTAAAAGGAACAAGGTAAAGTATCTCTGTATGTGTAGCACTGGAAACTGTCACTCTCCTGCTGTTCAGGGACATCTGCCTGAACACCTGCAAGAGCCCTCCTTCCCTTCAAAGCACCAGGTCCCAGACACAGTTAAGGTAATGTGACCTCTGGCAGATCAGTTCTTGCCACGTTGCAGTTTACTACTGGGCATTCACTGGCAGACAATTTCACTGTAAAGAGGGCTGGGCAAATGTTGGGAAATACCCATTTCAGCAGGAAGAATATTGTAAAGTTTCCAACCTGCATCATTTCCTAAAATGACTCAACAGCAATATTCCCACAGATGTATCCTATGGCTTGTTTTACAAATTTCAGACATTCATCAGTATAGTTGTAAAGAACATTAAAAAGAAAACCTTTGCAAGCAAGGTCCATGTCTTGCAATGGAGGATCTGGTTCAATGCAGCTGGAGCTCATGTTTTCCTACCATTCATAAACTGCCCAAACTGCCATCAGCAGTTCCTTTAATTGAATTAGAGCCAGGTTGTAGAATCAGGAAACATATTCTCTACTCCAAGGGGATGACGATGTAGGCACGTGTTCTTTAAGAATGTATACATTCAACATTGGTCCAGGCAAGTCTGAAAGCATTGTAGCAAAATGTGTATTGCCCTGAAACTTGCCCTGTTGTCTCAAAAACCAGAGGTGAATGGCCTTTGGCAAACACTGGTGGAGATAACCAGACTCCACCTGAATGCTGCTCCTAAAAACATAATTCAGTTTCCTGCCACCTAGAACAAAATTATTATCTCCTGATGGCACCTGGTGCTTTTAATGTCAGCTTGCTCAGCTGTTTCTGCATTATCCTTTCCATAAAACATGGGGCTGGAAAGGCCTTCCAGACCTCTATTTTCTAGAATAAGTTTCTTCTCTCCACAGCACCAGTTTAGAGACTCTTTTAAAGTCTCTCTGTTCTGAGAGTTATAGGTATTTATCTTGTTTCAAGATCAAGATTTACGCTTGGCCCAGTCATACCCTTTTGCCCTTTGACTCATGCTATCCTTTGGTTTAAATATGTTTCTTTTCCTGTTGTTCATTCCTGCAGTGTATTTATAGGTGGTAGACTCTTTCCTTCTCTCATCTGGGGGGTTTCAAGGGTTACTGCGAAATTAATAACCTTTTTCTAAACTTGTTTCAGAGCTAAGTACCTGCAAAGCTATTTAAAATTTCATTCCTTTGTACAATGCATTAATAACCCCTCATCCTTCTCAAATTACCATGACTGAAATTGAATTTTTCCTACCTGGCAGGTCAGATCCAGATTTTGACTGGCCCTCCCATCCTTCTCCCCATCTGATTACACCTACATGACATGAACAGCAGAAATCTCTCAATCTGTGAACTCATAATCATGTTTTATCTTGCTGAATTGTATCCATTTCAATTCCATTACGTTTTAAAATTCTCCATGAAAGTAAACCGATACAAATATTTAATAATATCACATGTATTGTTAGGAGCATCATTCCTCTCTCCCCTCATCTCATTTCCATGCTGCCTGGTTTGTCTCCTCCACCTGCATGGTTCTATTCCCAGAGGAAAGTCTGTTCAAACCCTTTTTTCTGCTATATTCCAGTTCCTTCAAAATGCTGGAATGAAAAGTCCTATACTTGGGTAAGATCCTGGTAATAATTGTACAACAGCTGACAAAGAAATTCCAAACCTTTATCTATATTCAAATATGTTGGTTTCCCTAATCAACTCTCCCTTTGAAACAGAAAATTTGAATCGCAAACCTACTTTTGTTTATCCTTACATTTAATCCTTAATTTAAATAGAATCAATCTATGATCACCCCAGCTAGCACGTTCTTCAGCAACCTCTTTATCATATCATTAACACTTGGAAGAATCATATTTGAAGTTGTATCATCCCTTGTTGATTCAGGCATATTTTGATGAGGAAGATCTATTAGATATTATATCCAGGGCTATCTGACCTCACATTGATGAGCGTTTGCTCTCCAGTCTATTATCTGGGAGGTTTGTCTTTGTGCAATAATCCCCAGGAATATATGGCTTTTTAATAACACCACAAAGATTTTACTCAGATACCATTCTGATAAATGAGAGAAGCCTTCTAGCACCAACAGGCAGAATGTTTTATCCATGAAGTCCTTCATGGTTCCTTACCACCTGCCTTGTCCTGAGAAAAAGATAGAAATGGGAGCAGTTGCCATGTTTTGAATTTTCTGGATAACACAGATGGGTTTCAGAGAAGTAATTTAGACAAAATGCGGGTTACAAGGAAGATTGAGAAGTCTGAGACCTCACCACAGAGTCACTCTTTTATGCTAGAACAAACAAATAACAGGGCATCTGCCATTAGTTCTGTTTGCACAAGTGTTAGACTGTGCCCCAGCCAGACACCAGCCAGAAGGGAATAGCTGGGAAAGCTGATTTTATTATTCATTCACAAAACATCTTCTACCATTATGAAAAAATAGTCTCAGTGATACCCTTGAATCTGAATCTCCAGCTTTTGCTTCTAAAAGCAAACCCAAGGCCTGGGAAATAATACTGTTGAAAAAAGCTGCCACATCTTTCTCTCTGAAGAAGCCACGGTTTGTTGAACTGTGAAGTCCTTCACAATACACAAGCCACAGCACTTTTATCTCCACAAAGCAGCTGGCCCTTGATACCACATGAATGTGTTGTGGGTTTTCTCTTCCATGCAAGTATTTTTAGCATTTGGGTTTTCCCTGATTTTTGGTGAACTGCAGTCCCTGAGGAACAGGTGGTGGAATGAAATGAACTTTGTCACATCTGAGCACCATGGGAACAGCTCTGCCCCCTGCATCCAGCCCATGGAGACGTGTGCCATGAAAACAACATTGCTAAGTAACTGACTTAAATTGCAGCTTTCCTCCCAAGCACTTGGAAATCTCCTCCTCCCACACAAACATGGTAGAGCTGATTTACAGCTTGTTTGGGTCTCACAGGTAGGAGCTGATTTACTTTTGTCAGTTATCAGCAAAAGGGTGAGAAAAACTAGTTTTATAGGAGGCAAAACCCGAGCTGACTCCAGGCCCTAAGAATGCTTTGCTCCATCTATCCAGCTCACCGGAGAGGTGTGGTTTTGGCACAGCATTGGGGAAAATTATACCAGATAAATAAATGCAGTTCTGACAGATTCCATTCCTGTCCCTGGACAAGCTGCTTCTCTTCCTTTGTTCCTCCATTCCATAGGCACCCAGCCAAGGTGTCCTCGAGGAGATCAGTGACCATTTTGGTGGAAACAAATCAAAAATGAGGCCAAATGAGTGCAAGGCTTTGCACAGATAAACCCACTGGAAAGCTCTCTTGTTCACAGACAATTTATTAGTGTCCCTTTCAAGGTCCAATCAAACATCTACAGGTCTAAACAAACATCTATAGGTTACACCTGTACAACTTTCTCATGCTGATGATCTCCAGCTTATCTATGATCATTTCCAAAGGGAACTCAAAGTCTGTATTCATTTTTAAAGGGATGCAGAAGTACTCAAGCATGCAGTCAGCCCAATATGGGTCTAGGTGAGCAGTGGGTTACTCTGCTGGGCTCCAATGAGGCTGAGCAGCTGGAAAACAAGTGAGTAGGAAAGCTCCTACCACAAATGGGTATAATAGGAATTCCCATAAATATTGTGTAATGGCTATGGAGACATCCCAGTGGCATTTTAATTCCTTACATAGGAAATCCAAGGCTAGAGGATAATTTCTTCCAGAATCATCATCTAGGTTTGTAGATGCAGAAAGAAGGGATCCCTTCAGAAAGGACATACCAGCAACCTGACTTGTCCTTCTGGTCCTTGAGATTGGGAAAGAGCTTCAGGTCAGGTGTTCTGTAGCAGGAATGTAGCTACTCATCAAATGATGATGTACAAACAAAAAGTGGTGTTTGTACAAACAAACACATACAGCTACAATGGCATGGCCTGCTCTGTGAGGAGGCAACACACTGGGAACAAATCAGAGCAAGCTACTTCCATGGCACTTGTTGCAAGGACAAAACATTTTATAGCTACAGATTTATATGCAGGAGCAAAGAAGCAGACAGGAGTTTTAGTTAAAATATTTGAATGCTTCATAAAAGAAATTGCAGGAGAGTCACACAATGTTTTGGATGAAGGAAATGATCCATGAGAGCTGCTCCAGGGTCCCAGTGGAGGAGTGCCATCATCCTGGCATGCGGAGGAAGGGGCAAGGTCCTGCCCCTTGGGTGTTTGAGGTAGAACAAGCCCAGGAGCACAAATATTTCTCTCATTGCGGCATTTTTACCTCACTGAGCAGTCTGCTAGCACTTCCAGATTCTTCAAATTGCCGTGAGGCATCCAACTAATTTTTTATGCTTCTCTCATAACCGAGTTCACACTGCAAGTCTGGAAACAGAGCTAGACTCCACCAGGTCCGTGCTGCCCAGGGTTAAGTCTTCTCCTCAC